CAGATCCAACGCTAGCAAAGTGCACATGCATAGTGTGTATAACTTAGTGAACTGATAAGATGCTTTACCTTCTGTACATCTGAAATGTGCTTACAGTAAGTTATGGACGTTGGAATATTCGCCAAATCGCGTCGCGATAAAATCGCAGTGAAGTACGCCTTACCCCTTAGAGAGGCAAGAATACTCTCTGCATTTATCTATACGAGGCCACTTGGTTTTTAGCTTTAATCTAATGGGTTTTCTATTTGGCTGGAACATACTAAGTTTTGCCTCAAAATTTTTTTTTGGAAAAATCCGCAAGTCCCTCCAAACTCAATTTGCTGTACGATATAATCCAAGAGAGAGAAAATCATGCGGTTTCTGCTAGTGCTCAGAACAAGCATATCTGTCATTTTGTAGCGGCGATAGAAGCTGGTAAGCAGAAACTTTGAAAGAAATTTTAGGAAGAATTTCGATCGTTAAAAATGCTGGAAGATTCAGCAAATAGTTCTGAATATTTAATTCAGGTTTTATGGCCTAATTATTTTTTTCAAAAAGAATAATTTGTATTAAGTGGATTTCTCTTGAAAAGTTGTTATTTTTTAATTTTGATATTGTTTAGATTAGAATCATTAACATGCTTAACAAAATTACATCTATTGTTCATCTAAAATTATTCCATTATTCCACAAACTGAAATGGTTGCCTAAGCCTTTCCAAATGATTTTTTTTTGAATTTCATGGTGCAAATCATTATACCTAATACAATATGGGTAGTGCTATAGAACCTAGGTTGGTAGGTTGCAGGTGTGGCATAGCCATAGCCTGATTAAGTGCAGGTGTATTGAAAGGCAAAGGCGTTCCATTGCCTTTCAGTCTTCGTCCCGAAGGTCACCATATGTTGCTCTGCAATGTTTTGCGTTGAAACTAAGCTCAAGGTGTAAACTACGCGCCAGCGACTCCGCCTTTTTTCACAAAGCATCGTCACATTGTGTCCACCGGAGAATAACATCGTAGTTCCTGTTGCTGTCCATTTTGTTTTGCTTTTCTTATGCATCCATTGATTTACTCTGGCGTTTATTATTTTTTTTTAAATCCTATGTGTGAAAAAAAATACTTAGCATGATTAAAACTGCATATTCAACCCACATTTTTGGAAATTTTGAAGATTCTCAAATTGGTAGACAAGGACTTAAAACTCAGAACATTTTTCTAAGGGAAGGAACGAAACGGAATAATAATATTTGATGTTGTAGCAAATTTGTTTTTCGATTATTTGTCTTCAAATCACACTTTGAAACTTTCTCATTCCAAATCTATCCTGATTCTCTTCATCGGTACCACCTAAGGGGTGTAGAATGGAAGAAATGTGGCGGAAGGATGAAGCCAGAAATTTCCGAAAAAAAGCAGATTTGCTTATCTATCTTTTTAGATTATGCTATCTCTTGGTAATCGAAAAAATACATTGGTTGAAATAGCCTCAGTGTGCATGAGCTTTTGAAGGAAAAAACCATAGCTTCTAGCCTTAATAGACTAAACGGATTATCTTATGAATCGCGATTGAATGTAGTTTGTAGTACCGTTTTCTCGAAACATCTCGCCTAATCACAACCTAACAGAAGCATTTTTTTGCTACTACTTTTGTACCGATGAGTGGTATGCTAGTCTATTCTCCTGGCCGAAGAATTTATTTAATTTTTGTGTAAGCAATGCAAATCAATAATCGATTTTTTGCCTTTTTTTTCAAAAGTCATAACTCTTCATAGAGATGCTTATTGAATAGAAATTCTGCACTATTGGAAAGGGCGTATCAAAAGACTTACTATACTGCTTGCTGGGAATCTCATCGCAAGTTTCGGATTTTTAGCAACCTAACTCAAAATGGCCGAAGTTAAAGTGATTCTACTCTCTTGCTCTCATCGTAGAAGCTACCCCTCATTAAGGATCAGAAAACTCACTACCCTCTGTCTAGCGAAATTAGGTAAATTGAGTATGTGCAAACCGTTGAAAGAGTATGAAGTCATGATTTTTCAAAAATGATGCACAAGAGTTTTGCATCAACCTGATATCTGACAAATTTTCTGTAGAATCAAAAGTAAGGAAGGAAATTACTTTCTGGGCTTCAGAAGCTTTCCCTCATCTTTCATACTTTGTGATCTATGATTCTATTACGCAATATTTTACGTTTCTATTGCGAGCTGGTAGGTGTATGTAATTGCTGACCGCATAGTAGCACATGGGTGCGATAATTGCCAACTGGTCGCAGGCCGATCACTGATCTATCGAGAACTGAGGATGTCCTTGTCGGTAATAGTGTTTTTGTGTGTGACATAGTTTGCCAAACAACCACCATGGGTGAAAGTAGTGACTTTTACTCTTTCACAGTCAAAAAGTCCGTGTATTTTCCACATGTGAATTTTTGCATTTGAATATCTGATACAACTTGACTTTTCTCCTCATCTTGATTCATTTCCACTTGGTCTCTGCTTGATGTCGCGAGAAACATATGTGCAATTTTCACACTAAGCAACACTTGTTCCGCCTGTCACATCCTTCTCATATGCATTCAAGGCGTAGCCAAGTTAATTGAGGCAATCCAGGAAGTTACTAGAGTATCGACTCGGAGGGAATGCTGAGGTTCGGCTGACAAATATTTTGAGTTATAGAAGATCGGGGTACTTTGAGGTCGCCCAAAGTTGAGAAGATCTTTGCTGCATGTTGAAATTCTTCGTTGCACCTGTTTTTAATGAGCAGCCGCCTATAGGTAATCTCTCAACAAAATTTCCTCGTCTTTATTCTACGCTTTCGAAGAAAAGCACGTATGCAAATTATTGTTAGTAATCTCACTTTAAAGCCAGACATTCTATCAAATGGATGTAAAAAGGCAGGCTACTCAAAAATTTATTCTTATCAGGTAACTTTATTCATTCTCTGATTATCTGAACATCATAATAGCCACGCATTTGTTTATATGGAATTTGTATTATTGGGTCACTTCGGAATTCTTTTGTTTTTCAACCAATTTTCGAAGATTCCAAACATCTCCAAACTGCAAATAAGAGAAGACTTTGGAAGCATTTGTGACAGATATACTCAAACTTTCAACGCCTAGGTTATAGCAGATATTTGCAGAGTGTGTTCGACTCTTCACTTCCTACTAATTTTATTTTATTGATCTTTGTAAATAATCACAAAATTTTTAAGAGATCAAAATTTACCAGTTTTCCAGAACGTAATTTATTATTTATCCTCTTTACTGAAATTTTAGTGTTTTTTTTCGTTGAGAATTTCGTTTGATGACACTTAGAAAATAATGTTTTCTAACAAAAATAACGATTTTTCTTTGTGCAGTAAACTAAAGACGTTATACATTGTAAATGGTTAGTCATATTTATATCAACAATATGTAAACGAACTTCGTGATCTTTTTGCTCTACTTGAATGCTTAAATCGCGGTTCGTTCAGAGTGGTTTGCCGAAAAGAAGAAAAGCTAAAAATAATTGTACCTTTCAATCAAATCCTTTAATGTCGTTTTATCGTAGGTAGTAGTATCAAAAGTGCTTGAGTAAGAATTTGTCCTTTTTGTTATGTGGTTACGCAGCGCGGACAATGTTTGTTTTTACTTTTTTCCATTCCCCGTAAGTTGTTGTGCAGACGTCATATCGCACTTAATTGTGTTTTTTTCCGGAAATTTGGCGTGTATCAGTGTTTGGAAGTTATTGGACTTCTTGTTATTTAATATTTCTTGCGTTAAATGTTTGCAAACCAAAGCTTCGACCATTAGCTTCACTCCCAAAACAAGATCGTTATTGTACAGAGTGATTAGAGAAATGTTGTCATCATAGCAGTCACTGCTTACAAATTTTCCCCAATTCAAATAAAGATAAAAAAACAAATAAAGATGATTTGCGGAAAAATCAAAATTTCCTTCGAAGCCTAAATTTGAGTGTATGCATTTTTTATATGCTCGCCATGTTCTTGCTATTTTCCTACATTTTCCTACTCCAATTTGCTCTCGAAGACGAATCCATATTTCGAGAATCTCTGCGTAAATTGCTCTCCATAATATAGTCAATTCCTGCTTTCCACTATGCCTGCTTTGATTAATCAAATCATGGCTCCAAGCAAAAGAATTTTAGAACTCAACATTATGGAGATTTTTGCACATATTCCATTTTGTTTTCGTAGGCGCCATGTTGGAAGTAATCGAGATTGCAGATGAAATGTTTGTGTAGACATTGTTGAGGTGCACATGGCTGAGAGCCTCCACGTAATTATCTAAGTCATGCGAATATCATTTTGTAATAATTGAAGTTTCGACGCCAGGTGTCTTTACTAGGGCTCGCACAGGTGGCTTAGAAGCAAGCTGGATACAAAAAAGGGGATATCGTTTTTGTGGCCAAAAAAGCTATGTTTTTAGTCGACGTTTCATTTGTTGAGGGTTTTTCACTTTTAGGTTTTAAGGTCAAAGAGGATTTCGAAAAATTTTGCGAAAGTCAAGGGGGACTTCGCTTTCTGCATTTTCGGGAAGCCACGTGTGCCGAGTCTTTACTGCGTAGATTATCTATATGGTTGAGGTATACACAATACTCTTTCGTCGTAATCGGAGCCGATTTGGTGCGTGTCGGAGTGAAAATGTTGATCTGACCTATGCAAAAACTAGTTCTTGACGTACTTGAAATGACGTCATAGACCAATTCTGTCGGAAATGAAGTCTAACTTGATGATTTTGATAGGATGGAGGGCAAGAGATAATCTTTTGATAGTGTGTAAATAGAATGGCAACAGGTTCTTCTTAATCTTTTTGAGTTGCATAAATATAGAAGATATCGAAATAGTATCATGGCATTATGTACGCCTACATGTCGCGACGGTCTCATGGACATGACGAATACAATCTTGCTATCGAGATTGTTTTCAGCAGGAATTACTCATTCGCGCTTTTATCCATTCTATCTGAATCAACACTTCTATTGTATCATAATCATAGATAATTTTCGAAGAGATTACATCATTCCAGGATGACTGACGTAGACTTCAGAATGGGAAGTGACGGCAATGAAACGGAAGAGGAAGGGTAAATTTTTTTGTAACTATAAATGCTTCGAGTTATGACGCTAATGTTACGGCTATGATTAGAGTAATTGTATCTTTTCTTAACTCGTAAGAGAGTTCTTGAAATAATTGCTAAAATTCATCACAATGCATAGCCATACATGGCAACCAACTATCGGATAATACTGATTTATATTTTGCAGTTTTGGTGCAACCCAATTTCTGGATGATGAAGAAGTGGATGAAGAAGTTGGCTCGTCTAAAATTCCCTCTATGCCAGAAGATGATCCAAATGGCAATGTTAATACAGAAATGGGTGCTGCTATTCCCAGATGGGGCCCTCAGCATGCTGGAGCCAAAGCGTTGGCTTCTATGTATAGCAAAGGTGAGAGTTTAACGTTGTAATCCATCCTCCTCTCTCAGCTAAGAACGGGGCGGAGGCGCGCAAGCGGCTTGCTTGCGGTTTTAATCTTTTAAAGGTCAATAAAACAAACTCTCAGAATTGGTTTGCCAAGTACATAAACGGATCCTGCATGATCTGCCTAGTTTAATTTTGGAGAAAGAAAATGTCTAGTGCCTTCAAAATTTTGTTTGAGGGATTTTTTTTTTTGCAGAAAAACGTCTGCAAGAGCAAATATCTGTTGTAATCGCCTCCATTTTGTTCGTATGCGTATTCATCAACTTATTGAGGAGTTGGGACTCGTCAATATGGGGTATGTTAAGCTGAACTATCACGCATTTGATTCAGTTTTATTATTTTTCAGGATCAGTACTGATATGCGCGGTTCTTGGAGTAATGACTGCTGATTTTGCGTCAGGATTAGTACACTGGGGTGCCGATACGTTCGGTAGTGTAGAGACGTTTTTTGGTAAGGTGAGTGGGGCATCATTATTTAGGTTTAAGGTTTCTTATGGGAAAAATTGCCAATTTTTGTGTTTTAGATGTTTATTCGGCCGTTTCGAGAGCATCATGTAGATCCTACAGCGATAACTCGCCACGATTTCGTAGAGGTAAATCTAAAACATTCAAGGATTCCACTATTTCTTCTCATAGAATCAAATTTCAGGTTAATGGCGATAATTTCATGCTCTGCATACCAAATCTGGCTCACATACTTTACCAACAACTCACATACAGCCAAGAAGAGCTGCGACAATGGGCATCTCTCCACTGGTACATTCTTTTGCTTGGAATCTACGTCGCTATGACAAATCAGGTACGGGTGAATCACTGACGTTGACAATTACAATATAATAATAGATACAGTACAAGATTTGGCTACTGTAGGTGGTGTAATTACGACTATATCTGCGGGAGGTCAGCTTCTTCCCTCTCAAAAACTGCTTAAGACTTTGTGAAGTGGCCTGCATTACTTAGATTACGCAGAGCTTGTTCTTGCTTGCAAAATTAGAATTTCGATATTTTGATACTGTTCTACCATCTCCTTCTTCAAAAATTCATTGTCAGAAGCTCCAAAAAATTCAACGTCTGCACAATTTTTTTTCCAAATACTTGGTTGATTTTCCGGAAAAAGTCACTTGAATTTTTGTAGAACATCAGCTGCTCCCGAAAGCTGAAATAGGCAAATTCTATGCTGTCTGCCTGGTGAATAATATCAAGTCAGAAAGTAAAAAGATGTTTTTCTTAGCAATTGCTAATTTACGAAATTCTTCCAACTATTAGTGCACGTTATATCAGCAGTTGTTTCATAGCTTTATTTTAGATTCATAAATGGTCGCATACTTACTTCCATCTTTCAAAGTGGGTTGTGCTTCTACAGAAGGCGCACATTATACTGCCTCGATCTCATCATAAGGTGAGTCCAACCACTTTTCATTTCATTTTGTTGAATTTTTCAATTCAATTTTCGTTTACCACAAGCCTGACCTTTTGAGCAGCAATACTTTGATACAGATATCGGAAAAATCAAAAATATGGGAATGAGTGAGCCACAGAATCTGTGTGATCAAATGCTATCTTAATAATGAAAAGATTTTACTATTTGCTCATTCTTTTGGGATGATTTGATTTATATATTTTTTCTTCAGTTTGTTGGTTTGCTTGGATTCATTCTGAATAATGAATGAATTCGAAATAATTTTTTGCTAACAGGTAACGTGTTGATTTCTTTTACAAAGCTGCAGCCTTTGTGACTTTTCTCATGTAAGAATACTATGCATGTGATTTCACTGAAGTTGGTTTTTATTTTGTAACAGACCACGACCGTTTTGTTTGAACAAGCTTGAACTTGTTCGTTCCTGTTTTCAAGTAACAAATAACCTACACTGAATGTCACAAGTATGAACTTGTTGACCACACGGATAGCTTGTTTTTACAATGTGCAATTTTGAATTGATATGAGTTTTTCATTTTCTCTTACACTGTGCGACGGCTGCTATAAGATTGCTAAATTTTCATGGCAAATTACTGTTTCTAGTAATTTCTACTGTTTCTAGTAACTCTTTTTCCACTTTCAAGCTTTTTTGATTTTCATTCAGGGCTCGGCACGAGGTGGCTAGCTGAAAATGCGAATAACGAAGTCCCCCTTGACTTTTCGATTTTTTACGGAGTCCCCTTTGACCCTAAACCAGGACTCGGCACGAGGTGGCGTCCCGAATTTGCAAAAAATGAAGTCCTTTTTGACTTCAATAAAATTACGACATCCGCCACGAGGAATTCGAAGAGAAAATACATGAAAAGGAACGGAACAAAGCAACAGTAGAAAAAAAAACGAAAAAGAATCATCGAACACACGCGATGATATTCATATTCTTCGAATTGGAGGCATGATGTATCCATCGTGCAGCAATACGCGCCTAGAGCAGCCTTTCCGCCGCCATTCAAAATTTTCAAGGGGCTATAACTAAGCGGGGAGAAGGGGGTTTGAGGCGGTTTAGGAACTAGTTTGTAGGGTTTGGGATGTAGATGAAAAATTTGTAAAGAAAGTACAAAAATTATGTGAGGGAGGAAAAATTTATGACTTTTTCTTTCCTAAGCCACCTCAGGTGGCTATCCAGGTGGCTTGAAAGCCACCTAACTCCAAAAAAAGTTGAGCACGCCTTTAGTTCACATAATTTTTTCATATTTTTTCATACTTAGTCCTAACTCCCCATTGCCCATCTACACACCTATTTTGGTGTCATTTCATCTTCACTTCGCTGTAAACAAACCCTTTGTTTATTTGCTGGCGGCATGCCGGCAGCGTGCCGGCCGCAGCGAAAGACAACGTTATGCTCTTCCGCAATAACGATATCCCCTTTGCTTTTTCCCCAAAAACGATTTCCAGCTTGCTTGCTAAGCCACCTGTGCCGTGCCCTGTTTTCATTACAATATTTCCAGATCCATCACATTGCTCCTCACGCATGTTACTACTGCATCACAACCGGCTGGTTGAATTATCCATTAGAGTGTATCGGTAAGCAAACGTATTCTCGTCAGTGTCTCATTCTTTTTGGATCCAATAATCTATTGCTGGGCTTACTAACATTTTCTTGATGTATGTTGCAATTTCAGATTTCTGGAGGAGAGCTGAATGGGTGGTGACAACGTTAACAGGAATGAGACCAAGAGAGGATGATCTGAAATGGGCAACAAAATTGCATTAACTCAAGTGATTGTTGTTTGAACAGAGTTAGACATCGTGTACAATTGTAGAGCTATTTTTTGAACATTTTATAATCTTCGGACCAAATTTACTTTGTTTTCACATATCAAGCTTTCTAGTCTAGCTCACATTATTGCTAAAGATTAGCAGATTTTTTTGTTTTTCTAAGACCATATTGATTCGATTATCAGGCTTTACATATTCTTCGCATGCTGTTGAAGTATCTACATCCTACCCCAGAATCAGTGCAGCCTTCGATGGGCCTTTATTTGTGTTTGAGTGTATAGAAACATTTTGCTGTTAATGATTGATGTTCAATGTCCATGGAAAGTAAAAAAAAACTTCCATATAGGTCATTTGTTGCAAGACAAAAGTTATGCTGGGCTTTTATATTTATGTTTTACTAGAGATTTAAGAAGTTTATTATGCCACTTGATCTTCACAGAAGCATCATGCGTCATCCGCATCAGTGTGTCTGTGAACACCATGACAATGGGAGCAAGTTTTATCAAATGCGCTGATTAGGTGAGACTGAATTTATCACCTTTTTGCATGTACCTTCATCACACCTGCTCTTCACTCCCTTCTCATCTCAAGTGAGTGAGACTTGTTGGTAAACAGGGGGTAACAGTGTTTCGCATCGAATAATTCGCATAAACAAAGTATCAGTTAAAAGTGAAAGTTTTTTCGCACCATTTCCTAAGAAATCGTAAGCCTTCACTGTCATAATAATATTGCATGGCTTTAATATTATTAGAAAAAATCATATCATGTACTTTCTAACGACACCTTGGTTCCTCTCTACCAAGAAAACAGATTGATTGGTAAAAATGAAAAAAAGACATCATTGAATGAGCAAAGTTTGTGCTGATCGAGCTTTCTATGAGAAGCTTTGATTTTTGACAAAAATACCAAAGAATCAATTTTCTTCTAATCTGCTGTTTTCTCGAAGATTACATCATTTTGAAAAAAGGTTCAATCAGCAAAAACTTTGCTTATTATAGAAAGGAGATCCAGAACACACTCATGCTACTGAGTTTCAAATTTTCTTGTGTAGTTTCAGTTTTTAACGGGGTTGTCCAAATCACCCCGGTGTCTTAGTTAGGGTTGGGATATAGTCAGGACTATAAGGCTCCGAATACCAAACCACAACCAAAAATATTGCCACGCGGGACGTATACGCACAAGCACACCTCAAACTTGGGTAATCAAACTTTATCTTGGCAACAAAAATAAGAACAACAAACACGACTGAACAGATAACAAAGTGAAATGAATAAATGAGATCTAAACAACAAAATATAGTGAATTGAGACAAGGCAAAAGTAAATGACTAGGCCAATGTAGACGTAGGTGTTGAAAGCTGTAGAAGCGATTGACACTGACTGTGCACCGCCAGCTCCTTATATGCATGAAACCAAATCGTCGGCACAGCTGTGCGTGAATTCACAGATATACCAAAGAAACAGTGGCGTACCGAGAGGGGGGGGGGCGCCTCTCCCCCCCCCCCCCGAGAATGGGTCGCGAAGTTTTTGAAAGTTGCTTACATGTGCCATAAAAATGTGCAAGAGACTTATTTGTACTTGTAAGTAATTGAAATAATTCTTGAAATTTTTAAAAAATCTGGCCTTGTAAAAAATTTTTTTCGGGGGCGTGGCTGACGCCACCCCCCTTTTTCTAAAATTTTTGGGGTTATGGGTCCGTGAAAATTCTGAGAAGCGTGCAAATAGTCCTCGCATTTTGGGACAGATAAAAATAATACGAATTTTTTATTTATTTTATTTTATTACGTAGGGAGACCCTACGGAAGACAGATAAAGATCAACAAAACAAACAACAAGAGACCAAAACAACATCATAACCAAACAATTAACAAAATTGACTTTTTTGCAAATGGCTCCTTAACAATCGTTTGAACGAAGCCAGCTTAGGAACAAACACTCGTTCACGTATAAGTATATCTACATCAGGCAGAACTCTACATATAAAGAAATTTCTTCTTACGTTGAGCTTAGATCTTGGAATAATCAACTTTCTTGTACCGCCCCTAGTTTTTGATATCTTAGTTGTGAAATACGAATCACGATTCAATCCACAGTCTCCATAGAATATTTTATGGGCCATGATAAGATCAAACTTCTTCCTTCTGCAGGCAAGTGTCATTAACCCAAGGTTCCTATTCCGGGTTCTGCTATTTGGAATCTGATCATATACAAACCCAAGTGTTCTAATCAATAGCTTACGTGTGAAGCTATTCTGAACTTTCTCCAAATAATCAATACTTTTGCGCTTATAGGGGTTGTATATCACAGTGCCATATTCAAGCATAGGCCTTATGTAACTTTTATAAGCTTTCAAAAGGACTACCGGATCTCGTGTTGACAGCGCCCTAAATAAATTGTACACCGCCACTGTACCCTTGTCTGCTATCTTGTTACAGTGATCATCAAAACAAAGATTATTCTTGACCAGAAACCCTAAATCTCTGATCTCCTCAACAAACTCAAGTGAAGTTTCCCCCAGTGAATAAAGATATTCAGGATTACTTGCCCCAATGTGCATTACTTTTGTTTTTTCTTTCGAAATAGGAAGACCCCAGATCTGTGACCAGCAATAAATCTCATCAAGAGCACTCTGCAGTCGATCACGACCGCCAACATCCATAACAACCCCATATAACTTGAAATCATCAGCAAAAGCAGAACAAGATACACCCTTCGACAATGGTATACGAGGGAGTTCATGGGTATAAATGTTAAAAAGAATGGGAGATAATACCCCTCCTTGAGGTACACCACATCGCATCATTCTAGGTTCAGAGAAAGCTTTGCCGACACGAACTACAAAAGATCTACACTCCAAAAACGCATTTATCCAAGCAACTATACGTGGATGCACACCGACTGCCTTAAGTTTATTTACTAGTTTACTATGCGGGACCTTATCAAATGCTTTTGAGAAGTCTAAGTAAATAACATCGGTGTTACAACCCTTATCCATCTGGAAGGTCCAGTCATTCATTGATTGCAGCATCGCAGTAACAGTGGATTTTCCCTTTTGAAAACCATGCTGAGAGGGACAAATAACCTTTTTATCAGTTAAGTGTTTGACAATGTATTTTTTTAAAGATTTTCTCAAACAGTCTCGAAAATATGGAAGTTATACTTACTGGTCTGAAATTGCTCGGGCAAGTCATTGGCTTCCTTTTCGGAATTGGCGTAACAAAAGATACCCTCCATCTAGAAGGGACTTCACTCCGCATCATACTTAAATTGTATATAAATTGCAGAGGACCACAAATAATGTGAGCTATGGACTTGATGAACTGAAGTGGTAAAAAATCAGGTGTAAGTGAAGACGATTTAGGCCATCTGACTAGAAGTTGATATATTTCTTCACTTTGAAACCAAACACCATCGTTCATTTGCTGAAATTCGGAAGAAGTTTCTATATTATCCGAAATATTTTCCTCCACAAAACTTTTTTCAAATACGCTTGCAAAACAGTCCGCCTTTCCTCTATCCTCATAAATGGGTTCACCGTTCTCAGTAAGCAAAACTCCAATTTCTCTTTTATTTTTAAGTCTTGAGTTAAGCATTCTAAAAAAGGAAGCTTTATTGCCCGAGTTGATCACCTTTGTTTCAAGCGCCGAATAATATTTCTTAAGCCTTTTGTTAAACTTCTCATTGAGTTTTCTAAAAGCCTCCCAACGCATGTTATCATTGCCAATCATTGCTCTTTCCCATGCTTGCTTTCTTCTTTGATCAAGGTTTTTAAGGTAATCAGGAATCTCAGTTTGTTTCAAGGAGCGGCAAGCAAGAGGAACATATAGATCAATAGCATGATAAAGTATGCCAAGAAATAGTTCATACATCTCATCAACTGTGTTAACACTATTGAAGGACCCATACCAATCCACAGTGGACAGGTAACCAGTCAAATTCTCTAGTTGGATATGCTTGAAATCTCTATAATACTCTACACCTTCGTCTTCGAAATCTTGGCAGCTGACCCTGAACCTAACTGATGCGTGATCACTATTACCCAATGGCTCCCCTTGGGAAACCTGGTATACCAGTGTTGAATCATTAATGAAAATCAAATCCAACACATGGTGACCCAAAGTGCTGAACTTGACCTTTTGTACTAGCCTGTGGAGTCGACACATTTGCACAAAACTTCTGGACTGAGCAGTGGTAGCTGTTGCCCCTATACTGCTTTCCCAGGTCACATCCGGGAAATTAAAGTCTCCTAACAGCACAACTGAGCTATTGCAGGCTAGCAAGTCCGTGAGTGCTCGAATCATTTGTTCTGTTTGGTATGAGGCGCAGGACGGGGATCTATAGATCAGTATCCATTGTATGGGCTTATACCCCGCAGTATCACAGCATAACAACTCATAACTATCATCCACTGATTCACCGAACACAAAGTAAGGGCCCAACTTATTGCTGATTAAAAACATCACACCTCCGCCCCTTTTTGAAGCACGATCGCATCGAAAGATTGAATAATCAGGAGCAAAATCACCAAATAGAGAACTATCACTAATTGTGCTGTTGAGCCAACTTTCTGTGATGGCAAATAGAGAGGGCTTACATTTGTCTAAGTAAAATTTCAGATGATCAATATTTCTAGGGACTGAACGAGTATTTGCTAAAACACCAATTAAGGAGCTATTTGCGACAAAAACATCAGGTTTGATGAGGGCTAGGCTCAGCCCTATGACTATCTAATTCAGAAGGAACAACATTACCACTACCAATATTAGGAGAATGAACGATCGATGACCTCGAAACAGACATATGTGCACTTGGGGGTGTGCTATGATGACCTTCCCTTTCTTTGCGGATCCTGTCCCTCTCCTCCTTAGGAAGAGAGGGACGGATATAAACTCCGCGTTTGAAAGGGAAGGATCTCATTTTAGGTGCTCGTTTCAACACTAATTGAACAAAAAAGGAGGTAGGTAGTACTACTTTGAGGAGCCTATCATAAGCACCAGGCCTTCCTAGACGATAAATAGAAATCGGAGCACAATCAATGGAAAGAAAATCGAAGATATGCTGAACACAATCATAATCGTGCCTGACTTTGGAGCTGCTGCGCAATCCTTTGAGTTCCGGCACACCACTGATAACCAATGAGCGAGATCGTTCCCTTTCTTCACAAGTTGGAAATCCTTTGGATGTGTTTGGATCATGATGAGCGAAAGTGACACTAGGCGAAGAATCGATTTTTGATCTAAGTTGCTTATTGTCATTTCTGAGCGAAACTATCTCCTCTGACATCATTTTTACTTGTGACAATAGCTCACGGTTCTGCTGTACCATGGACTCGTACATTTTCCTGTTCTCCATAAGATAAGCCACTATCGTTCGAGCGTATAACGGCAGCTCCTCGTCCTTGATCAAGTCCTCGGCCGCACGATCAAAATCCGGGGGAGTAAGTCCATCAAACTGGAGTCGTCTTTTCTTCTGTCTCTCCTGAGGCGCCAAAGGATATATTGGGGTTTCCATAGAGACGTGCCGCGAGAATTTCAGAAGAAAATCCTGGTCCGAATAGTTGAAGTCGTCAATGCAGTCGGTAGAGCAAATCAGTCGAGAGCGGGAACAAGGAGCAACCGCTCGGTAGGGCGACACAGGGCCGAATTGCGAAGTTCTTTTAACCGGTACAAAGATAGAGTACAGAATCGCAGTGGCGACTAGTCAAGTTGAATTTTACTCTATTGCCTGTGGAAGGAGATTGCGAAGTTCGTATTTAGTTTAGTTTTTTGAAAGTTACTTACATGGATCTATTGTGCATTTCAAAATAAACTTCATTTAAAGGAGTTGTAAGGGTTACTGCAAAAGTAAATGACGCCTAGAGGCAAACCTGCAACGCTCCGTTTCGCAATCGAAGCCACTATCCACTACGTCATATTGGATTTTCCTTATCCCTAAGTCTTTAATTTGGGAACCTGGCTGGATTTGAAGACCTTTGATGGCATATCACTTCACATGGCCACTGCACTCTTGTGTCCCTCACTGGCACGAAAGTGGCTGAGTAAGAAAAGGCCGATGGAGTCGGCAATAGACAAATCTCGTACTTCTCAGACTTCTGAAGCCGCAGTAAAATGCTTCACAAAACCTCTTTTCAGCATGAAAATAGAAAATAATCATAAATCCCTATTGTAAAAAAAAACTCGTAGAAGAACGTATTTCAGTTGCTATCTACTTCTTCACTCTGCTATTGTACGTTCCGAATATCTGACAACAATTATTAAACACAAAGAAACTTTCCATCACTTTATTTTTCTAAACGCCGACATTCATCTGATACCTTCAAAGTAGTAAAGTAGTTGTTAATTTGTTGCATGGAATGACATTAACCGCTAAGCATAAATACAAAGGTGGAGTTCTATTTTGGAGGTTCTGGAGCTGGTTCCAGAACAACGGCATTGATGTCCACTTGCTCATAGGTGTCGTCCTTGACTTTTGCGGGGCTTTCAGTGTTCTCAGATCCCGGCAGTGACGATACATGACGAGCAGCTGCTTGTTCTGGAGCTGGAGTCGGAACAGAAATTCTTTCTGATCCCCCAGTAGGAGTTCTGCTTTGTACTTGAGGGCCCGTATCTTTCTCAGAGGGCGCAACCTGCACATATTTCTTCGTTTCCGAATCGGACGCGGCTTCTCGAGGTTTTGATTTGGAAGACGAAGCAGACTGAATCTGTGCCGGTTTCACGAACGGTTTAGGTATCTCGACTTGTACTTCGGGTTCCCCTGGTGTTTCGTATGTTTCAGTCTGTCCGGCTAGATACTGCTCCAGCGCATTCTTTAGCTGAAACTTAACGGGATAGAAAAAGCGGATCTCTCAAAGGTACGAATCCAACCCTCTGATCTGCGGTCTTCTTTGCTTTCTTTGCTTTCTCTTTGGCTTTTTTCTTCTTAGCTTTCTGAAATTAGCAACTATCAACTTGTAAAAGAGCAATGCCGCTCAGCTAATAACTCTTTTTCTTTTCATTCTTCGTCGCCTGCTCCTCTCTTTTTCCTCAATTTCCAACTTCCGCAGCAGTTGCAGTTTACGCTTCTTTTTCTTCCGCTCCAATACCAGCCCCCAAATCAGACCGACTACGCACAGTAAAAAGAATACTACAGCCGCTATTATTATGATGGTTACGGTTCCGTTTGATTCATCCGCTTTTTCCCTACAAATTGAGTTTAGAGAAATCTTTGCTGCCATTAAAATGCTACCCACCTCACCGCTTTTAACGCTTTTGGTGCAGCAGTGGTTAAAGCAGTGGTTACCGTGGTGATGGCGGTAGTGGTGCTGGTAGTAGTAGTAGTAGTGGTAGTGCTAGTAGTAGTAGTGGTAGTGCTGGCAGTTGTAGTGGTGGCAGTAGTTCTGAGAGTGGTGGTGGTGGTGGTGGTAGGTGGGATGGATACGATAGGAGGAAGTGGGGAAATGTATTTCGTCGTAGTCAAGCGGGTAGATGGCTTTGTTGAGAATGTTGTCGAACTTTGTAGGCTGCTGGTTGTCCCAAGTGGGGTCGTCGTTGTGCTTCCCAAAGTGGTCGTCGCTAAACTCGTTGTTTCCTTGGTAGAGACCATTGAGGAGGTCCCCAAGCTTGATGTACTTCCAACATGATTTGACGTTAAGTTTCTTGAGCTAGTAGTTGTGTCTGTAGAAGATCCTGAACTACGTAGCTTTGATGGATATTGGCGAACGAGTACTGCCGTCAGCACTCACCCATCATGCAAGAGCATCATATGCAAAGTGAAGTTTTGTTACTCAAAATTGACTTATAAGTAAGCATATTCACACAAGATAAGGATTACCGCTATTCCTGTAAACATTTGCAAATTGCACGACCTTGAGAATGACTTTTCTCTTGAAATATGTTTTGGGCGTAAATAGTGCTACTCTAAACATTCTCTTCAGTTATAGTTATTGTAGCGTCCAGTCGAATACATCTGATATTTGTCATCTACGAGAAATTACGGAGATGTACAATAAAATAACTTAGATCAAAGGTACAGATAATTCGGTGATAGAACCGAATGCAGCTCACTTCATAGTCAATGGGCTGATTAATGCATGCAAACCTTCACAGTAACTCCGTTTTTCAGTCGCTTACCAGGTAGTGATTTATCCCTTAGGCTAAGGGCATACCTCGCGCGATTTCAGTCGCGCCGCGATTTGGCAATACTCCAATTGTGCATAACTCATCGTAAGGGGTTTCTGAATGTACGAGACATAGGGCATTTTATCAACTTACCAAAACTAAATATGCTATGCATTTGGGGTCTGCCAGTATTGAATTTAAAGGTATCTGGCAAATTGCCAGATCGCGTGGCGGAAATCGCGTGAGGTATGCCCTTAGCCTTACATATCACTCAACTACCTGCCGTCTCCTTTAGGGAGTGTTTGGCCTAGTATCAGGAACCGAACTTTTTCAACTTACTGGTCCCGACGGCGCCTCTTACCAGTGCGCCACGCCGCCCCTTTTCCTCAGACTGCTTCACGCGTCCAAAAAATCGCTGTTGTGTCACTTTCGTCAAATTCTCTGTGTCCTATTGCCAGTCACCGATCGATGAAACGATTGAAGGTTCTCTAAAAACGTTGCTTGCTAGGGGCAAATTTGGGATTTTTTATATAGGTGCAAAACAAAATTGTTGGCAACACAGAGCAGATTTTCAGAGCTTATCATGCTCCTTTCCGACCTACCCTGGTTGCCAAGGTGGTGAGCCTTCAAAAAAGCCACAAAAAATCGTTAAAATCGTCAGTAACAGTAAGTCAGAACTAGCACCAGTAACTAAGATATTACATGCATTATAGCAGTGGCGGTCTGAGAGATTTTTTTTTGGAGGAGAGGGGTCAAGAATTTTTTGATGAAGGGGCGTGGTGTTCTTTTTTCAAAATTTTTTTGAAATGCTTTCCGGATGAACAGCTTGGAGAAGACAAATTACGTTATTAAGGCGCAGTGTAGTCCCTTGAACTTTGCTCTACAAGAAGCACGGTTTTAGGATTTATTCAATTCGTAACCGATTATCGCAACGTGTTCATCACTCTTTAGGTGGCACTTTTTGAGGAATTCTTCAGGATAAGCTGTTGAGGTCTGTATGCATGTGCAAAAACCCAGTATTGTATGTCTTCGTTTTTAAAATGCAAAAACAATTTCATAGAACTTCGTTTTGTGTGAAAAATTTCGCAAACAATTGTGACGACCATACTTTTCGGGAACTTTGTAGTGACGTAGTGGTATGCGGCGCCGCTGTGACCCGGGTGATCAAACTTCGATCACTGCGCCTGGAGCCAAACCCTTTACCTCCACGATAACTGGTAGTATAATAATTAGGGAAAATTGAAGCGCTGGTTTGGCTTGGGAGTAGCGCAGAAATCCAGAAATAACCATGCAAGAATTTTGCGAAAATTGAAACGAGATGATAAACGAAGTTTTACATCAATAGAAAAACGTCCAAATAGCGGATCTCCGTACAAACGACCCATACATTGATATTGAGCAGTAACTAACGCTACTATCAGTCTGTAATATTTGAGCTAACATTTTGGCGTACATCGCACTCTTCCAAACCTGAAACATCAAAAACTGTGCGAAATTGTTCTTATAGGCAGTCAGTAACTCCAAAAGATAATTCTCAACACTGAATAGTTGCAAGTTAAAGATTCTCAATCTTGCAACTATTGTTGTACTCTAAACTCCCTCAGATTTCAAGGTCGGGCCAATAATAAGCATTTTCGCGGATCCTACCGACAGAATGTCCTAACTGCTTAAAGGCAGTGTTCAGGCAAATCTGGGCATATGGCTTTTTTGCTTGGAAACTGTCGAGGAGGCTCTAGCTAAGACCCGGCCCGCAGCGCAGATAATTCATTCACGGCTGAGAAATCCATCCTCGAACGCTCCGCTGCTGCGCCGTGACCGTAACACTTGAGATGCAGCGCGAACGTAGTGTTAGAGCGAACGAAGTCGTTTTTGGGTTACGGTCACGGCGCAGGCGCGGGTTGGAGACGGATTTCTCAGCTGTGATTGAACAATTTGCCCTGCCCCTTGGGCAGTGCCTTAGTTGGGACCCCCTCATCAACTTCCAGGCGAAACAGCCATGCGACCAGATTTGCCTGGACACTGCCTTTAACCCATTGGCGACGACGCTTAATTTTGCGTGGCGGCGCTGTGGGGCGACGCGATTTTGCACAACACTTTCCGTGTGGGGAAGTTTTGTGATTATTGACGAGGTGCAAAGCTGTTTTGTAAACAACTACAATCATCTTCTTGGACGACTAAGTCCACAAATTTTGACAAGGAGAGGATGCTCAGTCGAAAGCACCAATCCAGATGAGACATATATCGTCTCAAAGCGCTTGGGACGCTGATTCCAAACCTATAGTTTCTAGCAGCGGAACGGTTTTGTAGAAGGAGTTATGAGGGATGTCTTCCTGGGGTTGAGGCGCCATCCAGCTGGCCTCCTCTTATCTATGAGCACTGTAGAGGAGTAGCAACTAGTGACAACTGGCCTGGTAAGTGACTTGCTTGATAAGGAGGGTGTCAAGGTTTTCACCCCTTCGCATGCAGCTTTACCGCAATTTTTGCAAAATTGAGCTTCTAAATGGCTTTGGAGCCCTAAAACCAGAAATTTCTGATGATTTTGATGCTTATCGAAGTTAGAAGTGTTTAAAAAAACCAAAGTAATTTGAGTTTTCCAATCCTTATTGTAATCTTCATTCAAGTTACTTACCACTAGGCCAGTTGCCACCAGTTGGTACTCTCCTACAATGCTCACAGATAAAGGGAGACCTGCTGGAGGGCGCTACAACCCCAGAGGGGAAACACCCCCCATAACTCCTTCTACAAAACCGTTTCGCTGCTAGAAGCTGTAGATTTAGAATCAGCGTTTCAAGCGCTCTGAGACGATATATGTCTCATCTGGATTGGTGCTTTCGACTAAGTATCCTCTTCCTGTAAGGGTGCAAAAAAACTGGAAGAAATACTGAACTGTGGAAAAAATACTAGACCTGGGAAACATATGATTTTGCAAGGGCTGTGGTCCAACAGTGGTCCACATCGTCCCTGCCAGCAAAGAGTGGAGTGCTTGAACTGCTGCGTTTTTGTTGGTTTAAACAGTATCACCGACAAGTTAGAGGGTTAGCCATGTGCAAAGACTGACTTTCACCGTTGCTTTGACTTCATGTCCAAGCTGAAAACCCGGTCAGAGATCGGCACAGGTGGCTTACAAGGCAGGATGGATAACGTTTTGAGGGGTAAAAAAACAAAGGGGAAACCGTTTTCAGTGTCTGGGTGGACCAGAAAAATTATATCAGTTGGTGTGTTGTGTATTTAAAAATCGCCGCTTGCATTGTGAAGCGGAGTCTCGAGAGCAGTGAAATTTTTGCCGATTAGAAAACTTCGAGTAGTTGTTAAACCTCATGCCCATCGACAACAAATTTTTGCAGCCCCCTCTCTAACAAACAAGACTTTATCCGATTTCTTTTGTCACATTAGTCATACGCATACATACTCCGAACTCGATCCATCACAATGCCCTTCCTCCTCTCCCCCCCCTCCCACCCGTCACAATCACCCCGCCCCTCTTTTAATACAGCTCCTCTTCTTCCGAAAAACGTCGCTAGTGCTCATCACCCCCTTACCGCTCATCCTCTGCTAACCGAACATTCTCGCGCCTTCCGTGCAAGCGCGGGAATACAAAATGTGCTCACAATCAAACAAAAAGGTTGTTCACAGCGAAGGTAGCGAAGGTTACTTTTCATTCTAAGTTCTTCGGAAATCCGTAAACCAGTATCTTGGTCTTATTAGATGGCTAATTTCAACTAAATTCGAGTATTGATCTCTGGGCGTTATCGGCGCTGTATTTTGGCTTTGTAAGAAACAAACCTCACCACTGAAAATAGCAACATCGAAAAGCCCTAGGCCCGAAATTCGGTCTTGATTGGAGCTATTTCGCTGCTGAACCTCGATTTTAAAAGTTCCTCTAAAACGGTTTCAGCATTTGAAACGACACTGGATAAGGGTCGGGGCTTGTATTGTCTTGGTATCCCGAAGAGCTCGCGATTATAGCCCGAACCTCCCAGGCACGTCACCTAGGCACGAGAATATGCCTCGTTTGAGAAACTTCGCGCAAACGTGGTCTGCTCGTAGTCTCTATCGCTGGCTGTTGAGGTAAGCACTAGATTAGTTATGGTCTCTCCTCTATCTTGGAACTACCTAGTGTTGAAAAGTTACTGGGACTGACTGAGTGCTTATGAGAACAGTTTCGCATAATTTTCCTTTCATGCTCCGAGGAAAGCGTTATACGCCGAAACATTAGGGACCGGCCAGACTATTCGAGGAGGTGATTCCTGCGACTCCTGTAATTCTTGTGATTCCTCTACTTCCAATGTACCGCACTACGAAGCGCTTTGCAAATTTTGACATACATTGTTTTTTCGCAATATGTATTGTTATGGGACCCGCAGCAATCACAGAAATCGCGGGAATTGCGGGAATCCCAGGAATAGTATGGCCGATCTCTTAGCCAGAGAGATGAGAACTGATACCAGTCTTGGCTATTGCTCGAACCATACATCAAAGTTACATAGACGATGCCAAGATTAACCCCTCACTTTCTTTAATGGCAGGAACTTGAACAAAGACCACTTTCGAGGTTCTGTCCGTTGGCCATTACGGACCAGTTGCAGCTTTGAATACTCTTGCAGAAATACACCGATTTCTGATACCTTACGAAGTAAAACCTTCCAGTATCTGCTTGAATTTCTGATATACGTTTTCTGCGTCTTTGCCTTCGCTGGAGTGTGGGTTCCCCTTTCAAAAATGTTGGAATCTTCAATGCTTATGCAGCCAATTTGTAACTATTCATGAATTTATAATTTTTATTTGAAAGGTCATTGTTTAGATCTACATCGTATCGTTATTCAATTAAAACAAGTAATCTTCGTGTAACCATTTGTCTTGAGGGTCTCCCGGTTTTTTCTCAGGCGTTTCTTCTCTTTTGCCAGGCGCTTCTTCTTCATTCGCTGTCATTGATGCTATTTCTCCTTTCATTTTCTCGGGCATGTCTTTTTCGAAACTTGCTAATGACATCTTTCCACCCTTGATGGCTCGCTCTATTTCCTTTACATCAGCAGGTTCTGCGCTTTCTTCCCGCTTTTCCAATGGCTGTTTGGACTCATTTTCTTTCGAATGGCGAGAGCCCCCTTCTTTAGAACGTGAACCTTTTTGAAGTCGGTCTTCATCTCGGCTGCCTTTTTTCTCAGGCGTTTTGGCCTTTTTGAAAGGTTTATCAGCTTTATCTTTTTCTTGGGAAGCTCCGTTCACTTTATCTTTCTCTCTCGCATAAATTCTCGCATATTTATCAAACCTATTCTTCCTTTGCAACTCAGTCGGCATGTGGAGTCTCCCTTCCTAGAATGAAACATTAGAAATCCTATGATTTGAATCAACAAACAAATTGTCACTACCTTTCTGGCAAATTCGCCTTTCTTTTTGAATTTTTTGCTTTTTTTCCTTCTGAGTTTCATCTGTAATGACTTCATGTGAAAGAGTTAGTTATATCACTATAGCTTACCTGACGCTTGTATTCCCGACGCTCCTGCTCGTATTTCTTGTAGTCCTCCCATTTTTGTGTCCTCCGTCTTCGCTCCCACATAAGCACGAGTACCCAGAACAACAGCCCCAAAACCACTATAGTCACAATCACGGCAATGATGAAGTCAGTTGGCAAGGCCATCATTGGCCGGTTAGTTGTGCCTTGGGTCTTTCGTGCCGTTCCCTTGCTTCCCTTCCCAGATGTGACGAACGCATCAGAAGTGGTCACGGCTGTGACATTGAGCAAATTCTTGGAAGTTGTTATAGTGCTTCCTGGGAGTTTAGCCTCCCTCTTGGGTGTTGGAGCGCCGCTGTGACCTCGTCTCCTTCGTGACCTCTGTGATGGAATCGGATCACAGTTGAAGCTCCTTGGCGAACTCACTTCCATTGACGTCTGCCATATCTGCATCTCAACTATCAAGACCTTATAATAACGGGCTAAGGGTTGTTTACGTGTTTTTGTGTGTGTGTGTGTGTCCGTCTGTTACGAAATTCGTAGAGCGTGTTCCAGCCAGTGTTCTACGCCCAAATTTTGCACAGCGCATGCTCCCTTCATGAAAGTCTAACATGCAAAAGCACGAGTAGATTCGTTGAGTGGATCCCTCAGAAATTGCGCGCCAAACGGATCCACCTGGCTTCTGTCCGGCAAAATTGAGTCCATATCACCACTTTTTGCAAAGTCGTGGGTGTGTTTGTTAGCAAATGTGCAAATGATGGACTTTAGCCCAAAAAGTGGTCAAAAGTTTACAACATAACGAAAACGGCGCCAGAAAGAATTGGTTGCGTAAATGGTCAATTTGCCAAGGTTCTAGAAAAGCATTTCAGAAGATTTCCGCACAGAGATGTAGCTCACGACTACTATTGCCTTTATGGCGACTACCAAGCTATGACAAATTTGAAAACCTATTCAAATTTGCGTTTGTCTTCCTGTGAAAAGTTTCATCCACGCGAAATCACCGATCTCACGTGAAAAAGCTTTTTAAATGAGTGGTTGTTTACACTTTATTCGTGGTAGTCGGCATAGCGCGGTGAGTTCCAGTGCCACAATTCTACGAGAATGAGTAAGGCACATAGAAGTAGGACCAGTGCGAGCCTCTGCGAAGCAGAGGTGACGCACTGGTATACACTAAAATACCTTAGATAAAGAGTATAGATAATTCGGTGACAGACACCAAGTGCAGCAATTCACTGGTGCTGATCAATGCCAACCTTCACAGTAACTCCGTTTGTCAATCGCTTACCAGGTAGTGGTTTACGCCTCACATAATACTCAAATACCTTGCCGTCCCCTTTGGTTACACTGGTTTGGCCTAGAACCAGAGCGAACTTTTTGAACTTACTGTTCTTGACGGCGCCTCTTACCAGTGCGCCACACCACCTCTTTTCATCAAATGCTTCAGGCATAAGGCATACCCGACATTTGGTGGGATCGCGGGCGCATACCTTCCGCGATCCCACCAAATCGTCGCAATTGCGCGACTTAGCGATTTGCCAGATGAGTCCAGATTCAGTGTACGCGGCTCGCAAGTGCATAGATGCTAGCTTTTGGAGTCCTCGCAAACACTTCGAGTCTCGACCAAGCAAACCGTGCTTACGATGAATTTTTGAAGAGTCGCGTAGTGTCATTTCGAGCAGTGACTAGAATCGCGTGAGGTATGCCTTAGGTCCCGGACAGACTTCACGCGATTTGATCGTCGCGACTCAATCGCCGACCTTTCCATTCATTTTCATTTCATACTCAAAAATTTCGGGCTGGAAAAGTATCACAACCGAAATGCAAGTTGATCGGCATGGAATGATGTTGTAACAGTTGTCTCATCGCGATTCAGTCGCGACGATCAAATCGCGTGAAGTCTGTCCGGGGCCTTAGGCCTCATGCGTATATAAAATCGCCATTGTGGGTCACCTTCATCAATTCTGTTTCCTATCGCCTGTCGCCGATTGATAAAACGATCGAAGGTTTTCTAACATTGTTTGCTATCATAAACTTACTCATGCTAAATTTGGAATTTTTCATACATAACTGCAAAACAAAATTGTTGGCAACACGAAGCAGATTTTTGAAGCTTATTATGCTCCTTACCTACCCTGGTTGCCAAGGTGGTGAGTCTTCACAAAAAAGCACAAAAAATCGTTAAAATCGTTACTAGCAGTAAGTCAGAACTAGCACCAGTAATTATTGTAAGATATTACATGCATTATAGCAGTGGCGGACCGAGAGAATTTTTTTTTGGAGGAGAGAGGTCGACAAAGAATTTTTTTATTTAGATTCGCCTACTGAGATGAGACACATATATTTGTAATCAGCTTGATATGCTGATTCCTAATATGCTTTATCTAGCTGCTTAGCATTATAGCGAGTGGCCTCTTTTCTATGCAAAGTTTGCGTGCTCCTTGAGTTACGGATGCTACGGTGTCGACGTCTAGGTGGTTTCGCAATTGTATAGTGCTTTCATGATCGGAAGAATTGATCTGATGCTAGTTCAACAACCTAGCACCTTTTTCGACGAGATTCTTATCTATACGCTGTCTTACGACATTCAGAAGTTTGTTAATTATTCACAACGGCAAGCCCATATCTCGCTACGAAATAACGCTAAGCAGCCAGGAACAACATATTTGGAATCAGCGTTCAAAGCTGCTTCCAAATATATGTGTCTCATCTCAAAAGGCGAATCTAAGTTAGTATCCTTCCCTTGTTAGTATACTCTTCCTGTAGGAGTGCAAAAAAACTGGAAGAAATGCTGAATTGTGGAAAAAATACTAGACCTGGGAAGCATATGACTTTGCAAGGGCTGTGGGCCACCGGTGGTCCACATCGTTCTTGCCAGCAAGGAGTGCGTGGGCCACCGTGTCCACATCGTCGTCAGTGGGTTAATCTAGTCCTTATACCAACTTCTTAGGCCGTTTTCAGTATCTGGGTGGACCAGAAAGATTATATCAACTGGTGTTTTGGTATGTGAAGTCGCCGATTGCATCGTGAAGCGGAGTCTCGAGAGCAGTAAAATTTTTGCCGATCAGAAAACTTCGAGGAGTAGTTGTTAAACCTCATGCCCATCGACAACAAATTCTTGCAGCCCTCTCCCTAACAAACAAAACTTATCCGATTTTTATTGTCACATTATCATACGCATATATACTCCACGCGATCCCCCACAATGCCCCCCCCCCCCGCCCCTCACACTCACCCCGCCCCTCTTTTATTCCAGCTGCTCTTCTTCCGAAGACGTCGCTAGTTCTCATCATCGCCTTACCGCTCATCCTCTGCAAAACGAACATTCCCGCGCCTTCCGTGCAAGCGCGGGAATTCAAAATGTAACCGGAAATGGACAAAAGGCTTGTTCACATGAAGGTAGCAAAGGTTTACTTTTCATTCTAAATTTTTCGAAAATTTGTAAACCAGTATCTTGGTCTTATTAGATGACTAATTCCAACTAAATGCGAGTTTTGATCTCTGGGCATTATCGGTGCTGTATTTTGGCTTTGTAACAAACAAACCTCACCACTGAAACTAGCAATCTCGAAAAGCCCTAGGCCCGAAATTCGGTCTTGATTGGAGCTATTTCGCTGCTGAACCTCGATTTTAAAAGTTCCTCTAAAACGGTTTCAGCATTTGAAACGACACTGGATAAGGGTCGGGGCTTGTATTGTCTTGGTATCCCGAAGAGCTCGCGATTATAGCCCGAACCTTTCAGGCACGTCACCTAGGCACGAGAATATGCCTCGTTTGAGAAACTTCGCGCAAACGTGGTCTGCTCGTAGTCTCTATTGCTGGCTGTTGAGGTAAGCACTAGCTTAGTTATGGTCTCTCCTCTTTTTGGAACTACCTAGTGTTGAAAAGTTACTTTTGGGCTGACTGAGTGCTTACGAACATTTTCGCATAATTTTCCTTTTATGCTCCGAAGAAGGCATTATACGCCGTAACGCGTTAGCCAGAGAGATGAAGATTGATAAAAATCATGGCTATTGCTCGAACAGTACATCAAATCACATAAACGATGCCAAGATGAAACCCTCACTTTCTCTAATGGCAGGAACTTGAACAAAGACCACTTTCGAGGTTCTGTCCGTTGGCCATTACGGACCAGTTGCAGCTTCGAATACTCTTGCAGAAATACACCGATTTCTAATACCTTACGAAGTAAAACCTTCCAGTATCTGCTTGAATTTCAAATATACGTTTTCTACGTCTTTGCCTTCGCTGGAGTGTGGGTTCCCCTTTCAAAAATGATGGAATCTTCAATGCTTGTGCAGACGATTTGAAACTATTCATGAATTTATAATTTTTATTTAGAAGGTCATTGTTTAGATCTATATCGTATCGTTATTCAATTAAAACAAGTAATCTTCATGTAACCATTTGTCTTGAGAGTCTCCCGGTTTTTTCTCAGGCATTTCTTCTCTTTTACCAGGCGCTTCTTCTTCATTCGCTGTCATTGATGCTATTTCTCCTTTAATTTTCTCGGGCATGTCTTTTTCGAAACTTGCTAATGACATCTTTCCACCCTTGATGGCTAGCTCTATTTCCTTTACATCAGCAGGTTCTGCGCTTTCTTCCCGCTTTTCCAATGGCTGTTTGGACTCATTTTCTTTCGAATGGCGAGAGCCCCCTTCTTTAGAACGTGAACCTTTTTGAAGTCGGTCTTCATCTCGGCTGCCTTTTTTCTCAGGCGTTTTGGCCTCTTTGAAAGGTTTATCAGCTTTATCTTTTTCTTTGGAAGCTCCGTTCACTTTATCTTTCTCTCTCGCATAAATTCTCGCATATTTATCAAACCTATTCTTCCTTTGCAACTCAGTCGGCATATGGAGTCTCCCTTCCTAGAATAAAACATTAGAAATCCTATGATTTGAATCAACAAACAAATTGTCACTACCTTTCTGGCAAATTCGCCTTTCTTTTTGAATTTTTTGCTTTTTTTCCTTCTGAGTTTCATCTGTAATGACTTCATTTGAAAGAGTTAGTTATATCACTATAGCTTACCTGACGCTTGTATTCCCGACGCTCCTGCTCGTATTTCTTGTAGTCCTCCCATTTTTGTGTCCTCCGTCTTCGCTCCCACATAAGCACGAGTACCCAGAACAACAGCCCCAAAACCACTATAGTCACAATCACGGCAATGATGAAGTCAGTCGGCAAGGCCATCATTGGCCGGTTAGTTGTGCCTTGGGTCTTTCCTGCCGTTCCCTTGCTTCCCTTCCCAGATGTGACGAACGCATCAGAAATGGTCACGGCTGTGCCATTGAGCAAATTCTTGGAAGTTGTTATAGTGCTTCCTGGGAGTCTAGCCTCCCTCGTGGGTGTTGGAGCGCCGCTGTGACCTCGTCTCCTTCGTGACTCTGTGATGGAATCGGATCACAGTTGAAGCTCCTTGGCGAACTCACTTCCATTGACGTCTGCCATATCTGCATCTCAACTATGAATTAAATAAAGCAAACCGAAAGTTCCATTCATTTATGAGCTTTTTGGTAGAGCCATTATCCTTATCGCTCAAATAGGCTAAACGGAATCTCATTGTCAAAACATCGGTACGGGGTGAGGTAGCTCATTTATCTTTTTGATGGGGAAAGAATACTTGGTCGCCGTGGCCCCTCGATATGCGACATATGTCATGACCCGTGCCTGGAATGCTGATGTCAAAAATGTTTTCTTTATCTGTGGAACGATTTCTTTTCAAAAAAAAAACTTTATCTTCTTGCATTTGGCAAGATTGCACAAAAGTACCGTAAGGTCGGTAGGTACTAAAGTGTCGAACGGCTAACGTTAGGGCTCTTGATTGTTGCACAGAAACGAAATGCGAAATAGAAACGGTAATTCGTGGATAATAGCTCCTATGACATGCTGTGATCTTTAAAACACTGATTTCTTTCTTCGTTCTATCTTGACTGCTACAAACCCTGGGTCACTTCACGCGATGTTAGTGGCCACGGGGTCTGGCAGTTTGCCAGGTGTTTTCAAACCCAACACGCAACCTCAAATCAGTGTATATAACTTTCGTAGATTGATAAAATTCCCTTTCTCCTGTACTTTCATAATCGCTTACTGTTATGGACATTTGAAGTTTCCCAAACGCAATGCGACTGTAATCGTGAGGAATATACCCAAGGCCTCATCGTTAAATATTGAAAAATAGAGGGAAAATAGACAAGATTATGATTTCATGACTGTCTACTCACCAACAGGGCTCGGCACAAAGTGGCTTTTGCAAAATGCAAAAAGTCAAGAAGTCCCTCTTGACTTTCCCAAAATTTTACGAAGTGGCCTTTGAGTCCAAGCCGTTTTTCTATAAGATCTCCAACGAAACGTCGATTAAAAAAAATCACAAATTTTGTGTCTTTTCGGCCACAAAAAAACGAAACCCCCTTTGCCTTTTGCCCCAAAAATATCCAGCTTGCTTAACAAGCCACCTGTGCCAAGCCCTGCTCACCAAAACATTTGGCTTCCGTATTTTTCTCTGTACTGTGCTTTCAAAACTAGATATGGCCCAAGCTGATGTGTTTTGACTGCGCATTTTTTGCTGGAAAAGGTTCAGATCAAATGCCATTGTTATCTATACTTATAAAACTATAAAACTCAGTTTGTGACTAACAAGTAAGTAGTAAGTATGCTTCCGTGAAGTATGTTTCAAATAGAAACCTTTGTGAGTGAATCAGTAAGTCCCAAAATTTGTACTTGTAGGTTTCGACCCCGGCGCACAATTCAGCATGTCCTTCTACGGCTTTATTGGTTTGTTTACTTCCATTTAGAAAAATGAAGATCTTGATAATTCAAAATTATTTCTTCGAATTACTGTAAATCACAGCGGTATGTCTCAGTCTGAGTTTGTGATTGAGGAGCGCAGTAAGTGAAGTGTATATGGGGTCGATTTTTGTATATGTGCAAAAATGATTTTGAATTCGGCTTGATATGCGTGCAAGCTTTCCAACAGCTCAAATAGTGCAACGTTTTCCTGAAACCACCAAGTCCATTTTTGCAGTATGAGCGTGAAAATCACTAAGTTTACACTATGCGTGAGTCTTCATGACTGTAAAAATCAGAGTTATTTTTGACACTTAATCAGAAGACACCAGGCGTGTTTTCCCAGCAGCATCTTTTTTTGTTATACTGCTTGTCCAAGAAAATGTGAACACCGTTTGGTCGTCAATAACTCTCTTGCTTTCACGTCTTCGCCGAGCTTAAGTTATTATTCCGCAGAGCGAGGTTCAACTTGATTTACAGCATGGAACAAATTTCCGATCGTTCTTCTTATTGTAGGATTAAGGTATAAATTTTGAGAAAGATTTTAGGGAAGTGAAAGCGATTTTTGCCTCAGAAAGAAACCAAATAAGCCATAAACTCTTGTGGACTAATCGATGTCTCTCTTCCTTCATAAGTTATTTTTGGCTTAGGATAACATCTGTTTAACCAATGTTTGTCAGAAGTCTGATTACACTATTGAAAAAGCTCAAAAACTCGTGAAAAGTTGTGTATTGGAATCAGCACGCTTGAAACGTTACTACATTTCTAGTTTTAATCAAATTTCTAGATTTTTTGGAATTTTTTTCAATAAGAGGCCATTTCCACGGTATCGCAGTATGCTGAGAGTTTATACCGTAAATCTACAGTAACGAAGAAAGTTAGGAAATTCTTTACATGCTGCAAGTCTAAGTTGAACCTCGCTCTACATAATAATACCTCAAGCTTGGCGAAAGACTTGAAAACAAGAGAATTATTAACGATCAAACAGTGCTCACATTTTTTGGGACACCTTGTATATTTAATGCGGAAATGTTATCGTAGACGTCACACCACAAATAGAATCTAGGTTACCCTTACTTTTAAATGGCAAGTTTCATTGAGGAAGATATTCAAAACAAATGAGCAGCTATTGCTGGACCTCCATGGATTGAGCGACAGCAATGTGGGTTTGGTGGTACAGGAACAACAGTAGCGGAGAGCCACATAGAATGTGATTTTCAACATTGGAGAGTGATGATATGCTGAACAGTCACTTAATCTTCAATGCTCAAGCGTTTCATTCAGTAGTCAAGCATTGCTGATAGGAGTTTCTTTACATGCTGCAAGTCTAAATTGAACCTCCTCTACACAATAATACCTTAAGCTTGGCGAAAGACGTGAGAACAAGAGAGTTATTAACGATCAAACAATAACAATTTACAAAAGATTTCCAGTATTTCCTGCACAATGACCACACCCAATAAACATGCATTGGAAGGGTTAACCCCCTACACCAAAAAAAAATCAAAAGTGACAAGAGAAGGGAAAAGTCTATAGAGCGTGAGGCACGCCTTGCAGCAAATTGCTCTTGTTTTTTGTCCAGTTCTTTCTGTCCTTAGCAATATCAACATAGCCTGAATGTTCTACATCACACTATGGGAGGGCAAGGCTCGGTGCACTGCTAGTTGCATGTGTAGAGCTCATCTATTATCACTGACGTAGTTTAGAACTTACCTTCTTTTTCTAGACTAGTCTGTCGGCTCAAAAACTTACACTTTTGTTTTCTAGGAAATTAGAAAGTTGCCATTTTTACAGCTACATGCAAAGTTGATTCCAAATTTCTTGGTTCAAGTTTTCCAGGAAATTTGGTTAAGTATTTTATCGCTCAAACTCTTAAGCCATTATGTATACCTTTCAAAACAAATTCATATTGTTTATAGATTCAGAGCCGGCAGAGAAGGAGAAAAACATTCCACTTTTCACTTTCTTATCATTAAGCGAACGGAATTCTAACATAAAAAGATTCCCGAATACGAAAGCATACATTAGAAGAACTAACTAAAAGGCGGGCTTTGAGATGCCACAAAATTCCTTCGAAGATCAACTTCTGAAGGCTGAATGTTGGTGAAGGGGAGGGGATATATGAGCACAGTGGTCACGAAAAAACATCTATCACTTCCCAATCAAGCTCCTCTACTCAGTTTAATTAGAAAGATCTTGTATTTTTTGTTCGGTTTTTGATCAGATATGGGTCAATGATTGTTCACACTTATGCAAGCCACTGCACATGGCTGCATAACGGCAACAAAGCGGCTGGTAATGGATTAACCTTTGATTGAACTGGGTTGGCTTCGGGAAGGCGGGACTTTGTGACCTAATTATGGCCGCTCGCGCCCGCGACGCACCTGCTCTCTCTCGCGTGAGCGCTCCCTGATCATCAGCTAGCCTTGATTAGGTCACGAAGCCCTGCCTTCCCGAAGCAAAGCCAGTTTAATCGAATGGTGTACTGTTTCTCAAGTAGAAAACCTTTCTTTCATGTTTTATAAGAATAACAAAATCTTGAAAGTGATTTTTTTGCCAGGAATTTGCAAGACTTCATTCACAACTTTACTGGGCATGCTTACGCGTGGATTTTCTGACATCCAGAATGATGCTGTTCCATGCGCCTACAACGGATATCGTTGACTTTCTCGGTCTTTCTTGTATTTTTGCATAGAAAGGCCGCTAAATTCTGCTAAACATGCTGCGAAGAAATAAAAGTGAATTTTGGCATATCATCGCTCATTCTTTCATGAAAAATCGAGCATCATTTTCAGATCAGATGTCGTCGTAGTCACGAAACAATGAAATATAATTTGAACACCTGTTTCTCATGCCAGCACACTGAAGTGAATGAAATGTTGGGTTTATATCAACTGTCGTCCAATATACACATGACAGCTTTTGTTCCCCCTATCCCCAAGGAAACCTAAATTTTTCAAAATCTAACTATGTAGCGCATTGTTTTATGACATGACAAACTGGGCACCCTAACAGAAACCAGGCTCGGGTTTCACAATCTTGTGCATTTAAGTCTTGCTGTGCTTTACGGATTTCGAATTTAGACTTGTGCTCTACGAAAAATAGATTTGTTGAATTCTCTAGAAGATTGGGATGTAGTCTTGTAATGCAAGCCAACTTTCTCATTTTTTACATCGTTTGTCTTGAGCAACCCTATAAGGTGCAAAATCCATCATGAGCTGATTCGATTAATAATTTGACACTTCTATAATTTTTCCTTAAACAATCGAGAAATTTTAGAATATTAGGAGATATTTTGTCATAAACATCCCAAACTTCGAAATGTCTTTTCGTAAAATGTGCACCTGTAGAAAAGTGGTTGCTACCTTTTGATTATAGACAACTTAGCATGTGTATATTTATAGGAGATGCTTGAACACGGAAGAATGAAGCGTTTCGTTGCTTTATTTCACGCTTTCACAGTCTTCTTCTCCACAATCCAAATCTTGGAACAGATTCTTCGAATATAATCCCCAGCACGTCGTACACCTAGGAGGACAGAAACAATTACAAGATTGAGTTTTTTTCCTCCGCGCTTGTTTCAACCTCAGGATTCTCCTTTCTCAGCGCCCAAAGTGCCTCGAGCTTTTCCTTGGCGGTCTTGGACTTGTCATCAAGGATTGCAGTTGTTTTACTCAACGCTGCGTTTAGTTGACCAATGATTTTGATGACTTTAGCTCGGACTTCCTTTTTTATTTCATCTCTGACTTTCTCGATTTCCGCCTTAAAATATGATAAAATTCTACTTTACGAAAAACAACCACCTGTGCAGAACTCGCTTTCTCTGTCTCGCTGAGACTCTCATGTTTTTCGAAAGGCTGCTTCGGAGCGGTCTGCTTGAAGATCAACCGCAGAACGTGATACACCTAGAAGAAAATCAATTAACTTCCTACTTCATCAGTTTTCTCTTGACCTTCGGACTCTTCTTACGTAACTCCGCAAAGGCCTTCATCTTTTCTTCAAAAGTCTTCGACTTGTCGTCGAAGATCGCGATCTGTTTGTCCAAAGCCTCGTTCAGTTCACCAATAATCTTTGCGACGTTTGCTCGCGCTTCTTTTCTCATTTTATCCCGTCTTGCCTTCTAATAAGCTATTAGTCATTCGACGATCTAATTGAACAAGAACTTGCCTTTTTAGCCTCCGTGAGATCCTCATGTTTTTTACTAAAATGCCATCGGCATGGCCGTAAGATGCGCGGTCTTGGTCTGAGTCCTACCCAGGTAGATTCCCGTCGTCCTCCAAGCGGCCCACTATGCAGAAAAGGCATCCGTTTTGGGATGAACTGCTCAAAGACGGTCCGTAAAACGTTGTACGCCTACAAAAAAAGGAACGATAACGGAAGTAAGCTTTCATCTTTCTGTGTCGCCTTTGACCTTCGGATCCTCTTTTCTTAACGCACAGAGAGCCTTGAGCTTTTCTCTTTGTGTCTTTGACTTATCGTCGAGTATGGCAATCGTTTGATCGAACATTCCGTTCAGTTCACCTATGAGCTTGGTGACGTTTGCCCGAGCTTCCTTTTTTATTTCCTCCCATCTCGCCTTAAATGTTGGTGCATAAGTCGAGAACGCAGTATACAGATAAAACTTCAATTTCTAGTTATCTGGGCTTATTCTTGAGCTGATCCCTAATTGTGAGATGCGTCTTGAAGACGCATTGCCATAGAATCTCAAAACTCCAGCTGTTCTCTCCGGCATCGCATTCAAGGAATGACCACATATGCAAAACTTGCCTTTTCAGTTTCATTCAGACTCTCCTTTTTATGGAAATGCCTTCGACTTGGAGTTGGGACGAATTGCTCAAAAATAGCCCACAAAACATTGTTTACCTAGAAAATTAAGAGTTAATTAGGTTATAATAAATCTGCGCTTCTCTTCTGATTAGTGGCGTACCGAGGGTATGGGAGGGGGTGAGGGAGGGGAATGGTTCGCGAAATTTTGGAAGTTGCTATCATGAAAATGTGCCAGTTACTTGTTCATATTTGTAAATAATATTGAAATAGACCGCAAAGTACTCATCCATTTCGACTCAAGCCGAAATGGATGAGTACTTTGCGGTTTTAAACCAACAGTCCCAGTACATACGGTTCACTAGAGAAACACCACGTAACGGATGGCTCCCTTATTTGAACACACAGATCAGATTATCTGATGGTGTACTCCATGTTAAATGGTATCGTAAGGAAGCATCCAAAAACATCTTGATCCACGCAAAGTCAGCTCACCCTGCAGCAACAAAACGAGCGGTCATCCGCAACATGATGAAAACTGCTACAGCGGTATGCACAGGCCACGAAGAGCAGCTCGAATCACGAAAGCTGGCATTACAAATTGCGCAGAGTAACGGATATGTACCAATTGAACACAGATGCAAAACTTTTGCACCTTCCGATACCTCTATCCGTAAACAGAATAACAATAAGGCTCCACTTTGCATCCCTTTTATATCAGATAAGGTTAGCGCGGCAATTAGACGATGCATTCACCGAGCTGAACTGCAGAATGATGTGATATTGGTTGAGGTACCGAAGGATAACATTAAGAAGCAGCTAGTTCGGAATAGACTCTACGATTACGAATGCATAGTAGATGAATGCATCGTATGCCCGTACGGCAATGTTGGGGATTGTGCAAAGGCAGGTGTGATATACCAGCTGGAATGTTTGAGCTGCCAAGACTTCTACATAGGAGAGACGGGTAGAGCGTTGGGTGTAAGACTAAAGGAACATTTGGCTAGCAAAAGACGTGGGATATTAACAACACCGTTGGGAAGACACAAAGCTGAGGCACATGGTGGAAATGACTTCAAAGTCAAATGTACCATTCTGTCTTACGAGACTGAGATTTGCACAAGAAAGATCCTTGAGGCAGCATGGATACTTACGAGGAATCCTAAAATGAATGCTAAGAATGAATGCGTGTCAATCAACAGTGATCTCTTGCCGTTCATACCGCTATGCAATCTGAACAACCGCACATAAATACCCTTGACTCACTGGGTGACACTCAGTGACGTCCGCTATTGTCCCATTGTGCGGACTTACTGGTATGCGGTGGAGTTAAGGTTAGCTCGTTTCACAACTTTGATGGTTTCCCGCTGGCTGCTATCCTCCGATAAGGTCTAGACTAGCACTCGTGGAGGAGGCTCTTGGCGGCGTACTGGTCAGATCCAAAAACCTATAATCTACGTTCAGACCTCTTGAAAAAGACGAGCCCGTCGAAACGTCGGTCGAATAAACATCCACCAAGAAACCTGGTTTCGGCACAACAATCATTTACTGACACATAATATTGAAATATTTTTTTAAAATTTCATGTAAAAATTGTTTCGAAGGCGTCGCTTCCGCCACGCCCCTTGTTTTCAAAAATCCTGGGTCTTGGGCTTGCAAAAATTTTCGGAAGCACCACAAAAAAATTTTAGTGCGCACCTTCCAAAAAATTTTTTTCCCCTTCCTCTCCGAAGGAAATTCTCAGTACGCCACTACTTCTGACCTTCGGATTTTGCTTTCTTAGTTCCCAGAGAGCCTTGTGCTTTTCTGCAATAGACTTTGACCGGTCGTCAACAATCGCAATCTGCTTTTCCATCGCCTCGTTGAGTTTATCGATGAGCTTAGTAACGTTCTCCCGCACTTCTTTATTTATCTCCTCTATTGCCTTCTCAAGTTCCGCCTGAAAGATGTAGTCTGCACAGGGCATCATACAATTCTATACGCGAAACTTGCATTTTCGGTTTCATTTAATCTTCCGAACAGCCTTCTCCCGAAAGACTTTCTCGGTCTTCGAAAGAGTTTCCATGGAAGGAATTGGTCAACGGCGATGTTTATAACATTGCAAGCCTAGAAAGAAAAGAAACCTCAAAACAAAGCTTCAGTCTTCTTGCCATTGACCTTTGTATTCTCTTTTCTTAGCTCCCAAAGAGCCTTCACCTTCTCTTTGAGAGTCGTTGAATTGTCGTCGAGAATTGCGATGCCTTTGGCAAGCACTGCGCTCAATTCACCAATAAGCTTGGTGACGTTTGGTCGGACTTCTTTTATCATATCGCTTACTTTCTCCTGAAACATCTAACATTACGCACTATATGCTTTTCTATCACATCCCAAACTTGCCCTTTCGGTATCATTGAGCTTTCTATATATTTTACAGAGATGTCTAAGCTTTGGGGTAAATTGCTCGTATACGGCCCCCAAAACGTTGTATAGCTGGAAGAGTCAGGATCAATCAAGTCAATAAATCCTATTTTCGCTTGACCTTCGGATTCTGCTCTCTTAGCTCCCAAATAGCTTTTTCCTTCTCTTTGAAAGTCTTGGACTTGTCGTCAACGATTGCAATCAGTTTGTCCATAGCTGCGTTCAGTTTACTAAAGAGTTTGGTGACGTTCGCTCGAGCTTCTTTTATCATCTCTTCCCTTCTCGCCTCAAATGATAACTCTACTTCCTCGAGGGAATTCTCCCACATCACTTACTTTATCGGCCTCATTTAGTTGCTTTGACGGTTTTCTTCCCATTCTAAAGAGTCTGTTTCTTGGAAGGAATTGCATAAAGGCGATATGCAAAATATCGATCGCCTAGAAGGGAAAAGAATACTCGGAACAAAATTTCAACCTTTTTGCTTGTTTTTTACGTTTGGATTTTCTTTTCTCAGCTCCAAAAGAGCCTTCAGCTTCTCTTTGGGAGTCTTTGACTTGTCATCGTGAATTGCAGTCCTTTTATCCAACACTGCACTCATTTCACCAATGAGCTTTCTGATTTTCGCCCGGACCTCTTTTTTCTTTTCATCTATTTCTGCCTCAAATAAAGCCATTAGTATAAGATTTTCGTTCAACAACCTACCTTTTCGGTCTCATTGAGATTTTCATATCTCTTATGGAAAAGTTTGGGCGGAATGAATCTCTCGAACATTGACCACAATACGTTGAACGCCTAGACGAAGTAGGATTGAAAAAGTGAATATCTCACTTTTTTCTTGACCTTCGGATTCTCCTTTCTTAGCTCCAAAAGATCTTTGACCTTTTGAACGAGACTCTTGGACTTGTCGTCGGCAATCGCAATATGTTTGTCCAATGCGGTATTCAGCTCACCAATAAGCTTAGTGACGTTCGCTCGGAGCTCCTTTTTTATTTCCTCTTGAAACTCTTTAAGTTCCTCCTTGAATAATGCATAGCAGGTGTCATCAGACAATCAGGTGCATGGGGCTGCGTCTCAGTGATAGTGTCACTCCTAGGTTTTCGCGGCCGCCTCTCTCGGTTTTGGCAGCTCAGTCGGAAACGTGCCTACGCGTATATTTTCACACCTGAGCAGCGATGGACGGCTGTGAGGAAAAGCCTTGAGCATACGCCCATGATTGCTGCACTGACAGCAGCAACCGTGAGCGTATACTGAATTTTCGACAATTTTCCGTGACACAGTCTAAGCTTACCTTTTCATTTTGGCTAAATGAGGAAGCGTACAGAACACCTCCAAAAAAGACCAAAGAGAAAATGATGGTCTTCATTCTAAAAAAGAAGATTAGCTGTGGAGCGAAATCAAAAGCTACCGGCTGATGGTCGGAACATGTCTTATGCGCTCTTATATGCAACTTTTACAATTTTGCTTTGAAGGGATGATTCTTTTTTGCTAATTGCCTTTTTATCGCTAATTCCTAGACTTTATGTGTTATACATGAAAAGCATAGCGTTTTAATGCCGCTGATGTGGGCGCTCGATCGTATTTTTGGAAGATCAAAATCTTCAAGAGATACCTAACTTTAAATAGCTTTCAAAAACGTGGCTAGTGTCCCTTTACTTACATTAACTACTGTCGTCCTTCCCCCTCTTAAAATATTTCTGTGATCGCCACTTTCTCTGCTTATCTTCTGCGAAGTAATCTCCTTCAAGGACACTGCATCGCTGCAGTAGATGTGTTTTTTATTTGCCTAAGCTGATATTTAATCATATTTTCAAGTGCTGAACTAAAGAAGAACATTTTTTGAGCAATTTTTCGAATTTATGAAAGTTTCCCAATTTTCCGAGTTTCCCGAGTTTCCAGCATGTGTTCACAACTTTACGACGACGAACTTATTGAAATTTGCTTTGGAGGCTTCAGAGTTGATATCTTTCGAGCTTTGCCAGAAAAAAGAAAACGAAGCGAAATTGCTTTGGAATGTGAGAGTCTTAAAACAGCTCATTTTCCATATTTTTTTCTGGAAGCGATGTGCCAAGGGTACAATGACTCTTACACTGTTCTAGCTGTTAATAGCAGAATACATGGGTTTTCTTAACAATAAAAACCTGTAAATCTCCAAGAGTCGGCTCAGGGCCTGGCACCAGCTGGCACGGGGCAAGCTGGATATCGTTTTTGGGACAAAAAGCAAAGGGGGTTTCGTTTTTGTGAGCGAAGATATACGCAATATTGGCGACGGCGACCTTTTTTTTAGTCGACGTTTCGTTTTTGGGGGGTTTTTTTAGGATTTTAGAGGGGATATCGTTGAGGATAAAAGGGGCTTCGTAAAAATTCCCAAAAGTCAAGGGGGACTTCGTAAAAATTAGCAAATTTCAAGGGGGACTTCGTTTTGAAAATTCCCTGGTGCCAGCTCGTGCCGACCCCTGAGTCGGCTTCACCGTCACCAAGCACTTTGCACAATAGAAACTACAGGGTGCGGCAAAAGTCTGGGAGCCTAGTACTTTTTCGTACAAAACGAGAAGGGAAGTACCTAGAAACGAAAAGTTTGGCGCACACATAATTCGGACCATTGCAGGTACAGCCCAGTTCTTGAATTGCAAAACTGCCTCTTTTGGCTTCCACGCAGCCCTAGAAAATCTTGGCAAGTCCACCTGTTACGGCACGCAGGTAGTCGTAATGGTTTTCGCCCCACGCCTTTACCATAGCTGCTTCTTTTACCTTGGCAAATACGCAGCATGATAGAGCAAACTTTTGTCTACATCATACTTCTAAAAGAATTTTTGCATTGCTTAGGAATAAAAATATTTGGATTTTAAATTAGGAGCATGTGTACGTCGCATACCGGAATTTTGGCTACAATTGCGCGAATAAAAATTCAAAAATATCGTTTAAAAAGTACAAAAAAGTGTTCCCATGGCCGATTTTTAATAGATTCTAATTTAGAAGAGGTATGCAAAAAATACAGCCTTGGTCCCAGTGCCTCTTGAGCATTACATAGCTTTTAAATTTGTTCTGAAGACGGATTTCCACTGGCACGTAGGTAACATTCGCAAACTTTTATTTTCCGTTCATGCAAGAACAGCTCCTGGCAAAAGCAAAACTAGGATACAATAGCGCAAAGTTTCTTCTATGTTGTGTGCATTGAAGTTTTGTAAAACATTAACAGCATCTCTAGCTACAGCAAAAAATTGTAAATACCAAAAATTCTGGTTTTTCGCTTTGCAAAAGTACTAGTTTGGTAATTTCCATTCTTACAAAAACATATGGCAGCCATTTCCAGCGAAAAAAAAATGTATTCTGTAGAGGATGACCGCAGCATCATGTGGCATAAAATTGAAATCAAAACCATCAGCATCTTTGTAATTGCAGTACTGCAAAGTTAGGCTCCCAGACTTTTGCCGCACCCTGTATATAATTTTTGATTTCTGAAAGCAGAAGACGGAACGGTTACGATAATATTCGTTGTCGCTGCCATATATTGACAGAAATCACAATCTTTTGAATTTGATTCGCATGGACACATGGTGGACTGTATCAGCGCTTGCTTTACAGCTTTTTCTTAAAATTTAAATAAAGCACGTGATATTCGTGACACGCAAAGACTGGGCGCCATTGCGTCCGGCCGAGATATCTCGTGCATGGAAGAGACAGCAGATGGTAAGAGATACGAAAGAGTGCTCGATCAGAGAGACGGCTACGTCCCCGTCTTTGCGTGATACGAATCGACTATACCCACCTCAATCTGTTGATATGGATTTTGCTTTTCCAGGCTGACATCATTTTGCGTCGATTTCATCATTTGAATCTTGCCGCTTTTTCATTTTATTTTTGGAATTTTCGTTCAATTTCTTTTCCATTTTCGTTTATTACATAGGCTGATCTTATGAACAGCAGCAAGTTCGTAGTACATCTTAAACAAAACACGATATATGAGTTGAGTGAGCACAATAAATTTCCTGTCACTAAGATGCTAATGTTAATCTGAACAAGCTAGGACTTTCGTGTTCCCAAGAGCAAATATAACTTGAATCGAACAGATAAAGGTTGAAACTTGTTAACTACACAATAAAGCTTGTTTTGACGGTGTGTGCAAAGCGGTTTCGAGTCTTTTACAGGGGACGATCCCAACCAGGGTCAAAAACGTATAGCAATTGATAATTACGTGGTCCCTACAATAAATTCAGAGAAGGCTGTGTAGCAAACTATAGATGACTGCTGGCCTTTAGTGCGAGTGAAAGAAACACTTTCGAAAGGAGGCACCATTGCAGGCATGTAGGTGTCGCTTTCTGTCTTAAAAATTTGAAGCCGTTCCATTACTTCTCCGGCGACAAAGTCCCATCGTCACCTCCCCGCGGTGCCGGCTGGCAACAGGGATCAACCCCGGCAAACGCGAATCAGTCCTTCACATGGATCGGACTATGAAGGATTTTCGTCAAGCTGCTAGGGCGCCCCCGAAGGCGACGCGCGTCATTGCCCGCATGGCGCGAACAGTGAGCTAGGGTTACCTGCCCCCGGACGAGGCAGGTCAAAGAAGCGAATCCAGGAAATCCGACTAGCGACGATTAACATAGGAACGCTGACGAGCCGCATTGGCGAGGGATATCGCTTATACTACACGGGAGATGGCAGCCGAGAAACGGAGTCGCGATTAGCGTCAGCGGGATACCGCGAGTTAGTGGCCGAAGTGCGCGCATTTCAGACAGATTGATGGCGATGTCGAAGCAGATGATGCCACACTTCGAATAGTCTCGTGCTATGCCCCGCAAGCGGCATGTGCCGAAGCCGAGAAGGACGTGTTTTGGAGAGACTTCGACATCCTACTAAGGACATTCGATACCGCAGACTACACTGGTAGGAGGCGATCTTAATGGGCATGTTGGCCACGTACATGATGGATTCAAAAGATACCATGGTGGAAATGGTTACGGCCAGAGGAACGAGGATGGAGTACGCATCATAGGAGCAGCAGAAGCACACGACTTGGCCATTGCGAACACATTTTTCAATAGAGGAAGTCGCACTTGATTACATGCGCGAGTGGGGATCGCTCAACTCAGATTGACTACTGGCCTGCGCCGAAGCCACTTACCGATGGTGATGAACGCGAAGTTCGTACCTACAGCGACATATGCATTCGCGCCATAGCATCGACTATTGGTGTTGGATCTTCGATTAAACGTTCACTTACATCCACGGGCCAGGAGGATGACGAAAAGAGGATCAAATGGTGGAAGCTTCTTGAGCATCGTCGGCAAGCTAGAGGAGCTTTCAAGCTCTGGAGTTGCCGACTGATGATAGGGAACCGATTGAAGATCAATGGAATCGGATTAGTGCGCATATACGTTCGACGGCCGACGAGATCTTGGGGACCACCCAGCCAGGACGCCGGTTTGTCGACAAGCATATCTGGTGGTGGGAGTCAGTCCAACGAGTGATTAAGGAGAAGAAAGAAGCCTACAAAGCCTGGCAACGCTCTCACGCAAATGAGGATTTTCGTCGATGGCAAAGAAGGCACACTACAAGAGACTCTATGGTGAACTGGAGGGACCTGCCAGCGCTAATAAAGTCTACCAACTGGCCGCCGCCCGACACCGAGCGATGCAAGATATCGACCACGTCATGCACATCAAAGATGCAGAGAGCAATCTCCTGACGAGGCCGACGGCAATTCTCAAGCGGTGGAGCGAACACTACGAGGGTTTTTGTCATGAGGAATTCCCGCATCCGCCACTACCGCAAGGAACGCCCACATTCGGACCGGTGCCTCGAGTCGAGGAGACTGAAATTGCATTGACATTGAAGAAGATGTCTAATGGTAAATATCCGGGACCTGACGACATACCTGCGGAAGTATGGAAGATGATGGGACAACGTGGAGTAGCTTACCTTACATCGCTCTTCAACCGGATTATCATTGATGGGCAGGTGCCGCGAATCGGTCTACGAGTGTCAAATTCCCTATCAGGAAAAATAAGGGCGACGTCAGGGCGACGTCACGATTGTTCAACATATCGGCCGATACGCCTGCTGTGCCACACAATAAAGATTCTCGAGCGACTCATCACGCATCCCAAGTGGCGTCAAAGCCACCCCTAATCAATGCGGTTTCGTAAAAGGATCTGGAACCATCAACGCCATCCATACCGTGCGACTATCAATGGAACATCACTTGGAGAAGTGGATTCTGGTTCATTTCACGTTCTTGGACTTGTAAAAGGCATTTGATCGGATACCGCACGAGCCGATCTGGTATGCACTGAGGCAGCAAAACGTCCCAGAAGAGTACGTCCGCTGGATCAAACTTCTTTATACGAACTTCTCTTCTCTACACGC